AGAACTTGGTGATGCAAGAATCAGACATTCTGGCTCACCCAATATTTCTGTCACTTTGATTCATTCTAGAAACCCCAGTCCATTCAGATGACACAGTCACAGAAGAGAAGGTGTTCTATTTATGAGTTTCCTCAGGGCTCCCTTCATGTCCCTGTTCCTCAAGCTGTAGATGAAGGGGTTCATCAGTTGAGGGACAACAGTGTACATCATTGAAACCACTGCAGTGTTTCTGGAAGAGTTAGTAAGAGCAGAACTAATGTACACCCCAAACGCTGTCCCATAGAACAAAGATACAACTGACAGGTGAGACCCACAAGTCGAAAAAGCTTTATACTTTCCACCAGCTGATGGCATTCTCAAAACAGAGGACACTATCTGAGTGTAAGAGAAAATGATTCCACACAGAGGAATACCACCAAATATGCTAGTTGCAAAATATATCAGGATGTTATTGATGAGGGTATCAGAACATGCAAGCTGGATGACCTGAACAACTTCACAGAAGAAGAGAGGGATTTCAAGGTCTGTGCAGAAGGTCAGTTGTAACACCATCAGACTGTGCATCAGGGCATCCACGATGATAATGAACAGGGGGAGTAAAACCAGCAGGCCACAGAGGCGGGAGTTCATAATGACTGTGTACCTCAGCGGATGACAAATGGCCACATAGCGGTCATAGGCCATTACTGCAAGAAGACTACTTTCTAAACTTGCAAAAACCAGGATAAAGCAGATCTGTGTGAGGCAGGCTGCATAAGTGATGCTCTGATTCTGTGCTTGGATGTTCACCAGCATCTTTGGGATCGTGGTTGTGCTTAAACAGATGTCATTAATAGACAGATTAGAAAGGAAGAAGTACATGGGGGTGTGGAGGTGGGAGTCAGAGCTGACAGCCAGGATGATGAGCAGGTTTCCCAGGATGGTGACCAGGTACATGGACAGGAACAGGATGAATAGGGGAAACTGCAGTTCTAGATCCTCTGTCACTCTCATGAGAAGGAAATTTGAAACATGTGTATCATTTCTGGGTTCCATGTTGTTGATGAATCTGATGGAAAGATGGAGTCAATCAAATGTGTGTTTTCTAGAACAAGAGGACAAGCACCACTAGAGGCAAAAACCATCTTGGGATGGGATGGAGACTAATAGGGAGGAATAAGAGATGGTGACTTCTGCATGTATATTATTCTGTTTTTTTTTAAGAATAATAAAAACCTGGGATGCCTACATGTCTCAGTTAAGTGTCTCCCTTCAGCTCAGGTCATACTGGAGTCAAAGTCCCACATCAGGCTCCTTGCCCAGCAGGTGGCCTGCTTCTCCCTCTGTCTGCCTCTCCCCCTGCTGTGCTCTCTCTCTCTGACAAATAAAATAAATAAAAACCTTTAAAAAATAATAATAACCTGAAGCTGATATTGCAGAGAATCAACCATTGTTAAGTCTGAAGAGGGTTCACAGATAGTCATTTTTAAAAATTACATTGTTTATGATGCTCTGTTTATTTAAAAAATTCAATAATTTTAGGGGTACCTGGGTTGCTCAGTCAGTTAAGCATCTCACTTCAGCTCAGGTCATAATCTCAGAGTCCTGGGATTGAACCCAATGTCAGGCTTTTCTCTCTCCCTCTCCCTCTGCCCCTTCCCCCTGCTCGTGCTCACGTGCTCGCTCTCTCACTCTCTCTCTCTCTCTCTCAAATGAATAAAATATTTTTTAAAAAGATAAAAAAATAAACTGATATGCAGAATGTGAACAACTTACAATGCTTAATATCTTGATCAGACTTAGTTGTTATGTGGGTTTGTTCCACTCTAAGAAAATTCATCAATTAGTGTACCTTTCTTTGTGTATGTTACACTTCAGTAATAATGTTTACTTCTGAAAAAAAAATTTGGTAATTTTATAAAAAGAAACAGACTGGAAAGTGACCTGAAGATTCTCTCTGGGGGGGACCTCGGTGGCACAGTCAGTTAAGCATCCAACTCTTGGTTTAAGCTCAGGTCATGAACTCAGGGTCGTGAGATCCTACCCTACTTTGGGCTCCATACTCAGTGGGAGGTCTGCTTGAGATGCTCTCTCCCTCTAAAATAAATCAATACATCTTTAAAAATAAAAAGATTCTGTCTGGATCTCTACAGACTTCAGAGTCAGACAACTGAGATAATACATAGATATGTCAAAAAACAAGTTTTTCCAAACTTCCTGCCCTCTTACCACTACAAGATTATAAATAAATGCCAGAAAATTTTATAATGGTCACGTTTTTTAAACTTTATTTTTTAAAGATTTTATTCATTTATTTGAGAGAGAGCATAAGCACAGGGAGCAGCAGAGGGAGACAGATGCAGGCTTTCCACTGAGCAAGGAGCCTGATGCAGGTTTCAATCCCAGAACTCTGGGATCATGACCTGAGCAGAAGGCAGATGCTTAACAAATTGAGCCACCCAAGAACCCCAACAGTCGTGTTTTTTAAAAGGCAAATTTGTACTCAGGAGGAAATGGTCCTGGTCATACAAGTGAGTGAAAAGATATTAGTAAATGGAATGATGGCAAAAAGCGCAAGGAAACATATGAAGACAAGACAGGAGGGAGGACCATGTGTGACTTGGTTTCAATCACCTGGTATATGTGCTCTTTTCACAGTTGCCTCAGATGAACCTATAGTAAGACATTTGGTCCCATTTCCAAACACTGAGTAAGGGATATTAGATTACCTGGTTGGCATCAGACTGGAATGATGACTGACATTTCTGATGAACCTTATGGAAGATCTGCTCTCAGGAAGGACAGAGGGAGTGAGTGAGACCCGGGCTCCTGAGCAAGAGGGATTGCCTATGGGAGGTGGCTTAGGTGTGTTACTTACTACTTTTCATGTTGAATGAGGCAGTCACAACCAGATTGCAGTGTTGTGTCCCTAGAGGTTCATTTTCCATAGCTCCTCATTAACTAAGCAATTTTTCTGTCACAGACATCCCAAGGCAGTATAAATCCTTAAAGACCAGCACTCTATAGAACAGTGGAATTCAGGGTGGTCCTTTCTTGACCTTACAAGACCAGGTGTACCTCATGTACATTTGGGTCTGTTCATCTATTAAATTTCAAATAATTTGCAAATATAGACACACCATTCTTCTCTAACTGAATTTCAGTCTTCTTTGTTTAGGTATTAATGAAGGGATTTCTATCCAATGAATGACATCAGTAAGTCTGATATCAATTCTAGTTGTGAAAATATAGTTTGTATATATTGATATAAATAATACAGGTAAAAATATAGCTGAGTTGTTATAAAATGGGTAACTCTCACAGGTTTTTCTTCTTGGCTTCTGAATGGCTCAGTGGGTCAAGCCTCTGCCTTCAGTTCAGGTCATGATCTCAGAGTGTTGGGATCAATCCCCGCATCGGGCTCTCTGCTCAGTGGGGAGCCTGCTTCCCCGTCTCTCTCTGCCTGCCTCTCTTTCTACTTGTGATCTCTCTCTCTGTTAAATAAATAAATAAATAAATATTTTAAAAGAAAGTTTTTCTTTTAAGAATCACTGTTTCCTGAAGCTTAATCTTCACTGTGTATATTTACAAGTATATTTATAATTAGATTCTAATTATCCTGTGTGACAACTTTGTCTATAGTCAATGCAGACTGTTACTTCTTTTTACATATTTGTAACTATTTTATCTTTTTTTTCCCACAGTATTTTCAATGTACATATTTGTTTACTTTAGGGGACTGTGGGTTAAAATTATCTAAAGAACTCATATGAAGCAGTAAGAAAAACATAAACCCAGTAGAAATACCACAAACATATATTTAAAAGAAAGGGAAACGGAGACCTGAAACCATAAATATCCTAGAAGAACGCACAGGGAGCAATTTCTCTGACATCAGCCACAGCAACATTTTCTATTTGTATCTCCTAAGGCAAGAGAAACAAGTGAATCATTGAACATTGTATCAAAAACTAATGATGTACTATACCTTGGCTAACTGAATTTAAATAAATACAAAAATGCAACATTAAACTACTGGGACTATATCAAATTGAAAAGTTTCTGCACAGCTAAGGAAACAGTCAACAGAACAAAAAACAGCCTCCTGAATGGGAGAAGATACATCTGATAAGGGATTAGTATCCAAAATATGCAAAGAACTTATACAACTCAACCAGAAAAAAAATAATCCAATCAAAAAATGGACAGAGGATGGGGTGCCTGGGCAGTTCAGTGGGTTAAGCCTCTGCCTTCAGCTCAGGTCATGATCTCAGGGTCCTGGGATCAAGCCCCACATGGGCTCTCTGCTCAGCAGGGAGCCTGCTTCCCTCCCCCTCTCTCTGCCTTTCTCTCTGCCTACTTGTGATCTCTCTCTCTGTCAAATAAATAAATAAAATCTTTTAAAAAAATGGACAGAGGAAATGAATAGACATTTCTCCAATGAAGACATACAGATGGACAACAGACAATGAAAAGATAATCAACATCTGATGATTAGTGATCATCAAGAAAATGCAAATCAAAACCACAACGAGAGATCTCACACACATCGGAATGACTAAATTCAAAAATACAAGAAACAGGTGTTGGTAAGGATGTGGAGGAAAAGGAAGCTTCACATATTGTTGGTGGGAATGCAAGCTGGTGCAGCCACTGTGGAAAACAATATGGAGATTCATCAAAGAATTAAAAATGGAATTACCATATGGTCCAGTAATTCTACTACTGGGTATTTGCCCAAAGAATCCAAAAATACTCATTCAAAAAGATTATATATATATATATATATATATATATATATATATATATATATATATCTCCCTATGTTTATTACAGCATTATTTACAATAGCCAGAATATGGAAGCAATCCAAGTGTCCATTCATAGATGAATGGATGGATAAAGAAGATGTGATATAGGGGCACCTGGGTGGCTCAGTAGGTTGGAGTCACTGCCTTCAGCTCAGGTCATGATCCCAGGGTCCTGGGATCAAGCCCCGCATGGGGGGGGGGGTCTCTGCTCAGCAGGGAGCCTGCTCAGAGAGCCTGCTTCCCCACTCCCCCACTGCCTGCCTCTCTGCCTACTTGTGATCTCTGTCAAATAAATAGACAACATTTTTAAAAATTTTTTAAAAAAAAGAAGATATGGTATATGCATACAATGGAGTATTTCTCAGTCATAAAAACGAATGAAACCTTCCCATTTGCAACAACATGGCAAGATTTGTCAGAGAAAGACAAATACCACATGATTTCACTGATAGGTAGAATTTAAGAAACAAAACAAATCATCAAAGAAAAAGAGAGACAGGGCGCCAGGGTGGCTCAGTCAGTTAAACATCTGCCTTTGGCTCAGGTCATGATCCCAGGATTCTGGGATCAAGTCCCACACAGGAACTCTGTTCTCCATCTCCCTCTACCTCTCCCCACCCTGCCCATGCTCTCTTACTCGCTCTCTCTCTCAAATAAATACATACATAAAATCTTATCTAAAAAAAGAGACCAAAAAAAAAAAAAAAACCAAACCCCCCCCAAAAAAAAAAAAAAACAGACTCTTACATATAGAGAATAAATTGCTGGTTGCCAGAAGGTGGGTGTGTGGAGGGATGGGTAAAATAGGTGAGACGGATGAAGAGTACATTTATCATCATGAGCACTGAGTAATGTATAAAACTGCTGAATCATTCTATTGTATAGCAAAACTAATACGATATAGTATTAATTATACAGGAATGAAAAATGTTTAAATTTAAAAAATGTTTAAATTAAAAATGTATAAATAATAAAAGGAAGTTAATATGTGAAGACGCCAAGCCACGTTAACAATAAGATATGCCAATTAATAAATTATTTTTACTCCCACCCGGTTATCAGTATCCTTGAAAGTATATTGATGTGGTATAGATTATCAGGACCTTCTAACGTGTGTAACTGGCTCTCTTATTTCCATCAAGGGACATATATGAGAGTATTCCAACAGGTTTTTCATAGTAACAGGAAACTAGTTACAAACAAAATTTCCATCAATATTGGAGAGGATACCTACTTTGAAAACTCACCATATATCATGTAAAAACCCAGAGGAATGGAAATAAATTATTTATTTATATGCCCAACATAATTAAATATCA